GGCGATGGGTCACCATGGGCGATTTCGTCAACCTCAAAACTGCCAATTGGGCGACCACCGTGGCGATGAACCAGTCGACTGAGCTCAGCGGTGCTCCATGCTTGCATAGCCTCTCGAATGAGCGAGCTGAGTCCGAGTCGCTTCACGAACACGTAGTCAGTGTCTTCGGAACCGCTAAATAATTCAGCCACGACATATAGGTCTGGCCGCACGCGGCGTGCTTCGTCGAGAATGTGCTCAGCAACATGAATCGGCGTTGAATGACAATTGTCTATGCGCAGACCAGCAAAATAAGTTGCTAATTTACGAGCATACTCCGTCATGTGCTTCCAAAGCCAAGGGCTATCGTCCGGCTTCGAACCATACCGTAGCTTGACACAGTCACCCCAAACGATAACTTCGCGTCGCAAGTATACCCGTGAGTCAGGGCCGGCATTGTCTATCAGCGCATTGCCGCCCCATACCCAGCCATTGTTCACTACCATCAAATCTCGCGGGTCATGCTTTGACGTCGTATCATTCTTAGGCAGACGTGTAAAGTATGTTTCTATCAGAGGGTTTTCATCGTTGATAGGACCCAGTTTGGGACCGTGATCGTCCAGGCGAACATATTTTATACGGTTGTATAGTTGTTCAAGAATTTCCTTTATGTCGCCATCGTACTCTTCGTACAATGGGACATTCAATGCATGTAGGATCTCTACCATTTTTAAGCGGGCCGCCGCCTTGTCTGCAGAGTTCGACGACTCGCCTTCGTATCGGCCAAGGGAGAATGCGAGCAAAGTTGCCGCTATATTAGGATCGACCCTTCTTCTGAATCGTTCACCTAGGCGATCCTTGCCCAAGAGCGCAAACTTTCGGAGGAAATCGGCATGTTGAGTGACGCTAGAATCCCTAAGCTGTTTAACCGCTTCTTGAATGCTCTCTGTATCTTGGGGCGTATACGTCTCTGTCCCAGCCCATGTGTCCACAGCAGCGTCGGCATCTCGTTCCACGTCAAGTGCATAATATTCCCAAAGACGAATCTTTGCGATGACCTCTGTTTTAATAGCTTCCATGATCAGAAGGAGATCTTCGGGTGATTTTGGATCAGTCGGCAGGCCAAGAGATTGTAACTTTGAGCTCAGCTCTAGCAATTTGGAATCGAGTTCGTACGCAGACTCTAGCCATGGCGCAGTTGAAAGGTTATAGCCAGCTTCCGGGTGCTCTTGGAGCCATTTTGAATTATGCGCGGTATGATTGAGTACGATATCCGTCAAGCTTAGCAGGGAATTGTCCTTCTCCAGGCTTTGAATCAGTTTTTCAACGTCGCTCTCGCCATTGGGAAAGCAACCAGAGTCCCAGCCGAGTTGATCGTACAAGCTGTATGGTGACTTGGACGATCCTCGGACTTGCAGGGGCGTAAAATGAATCATATTATAACCTCGATCGCTTATACCTCGCAAGTGACTATCCCAATCGGTAGGGTACTTGCCCATGAATTTACTGATGACAGAGAATACCGACAGCGCGGGCAGCGGGAGTGGGCGTCCGTCCAAACGCAGCCGTGGCGCAACATCTATGTAGTAAGTCGGTGTTCTTTTCAACTGGTTCGAGGCTTGCGAGGCCGCCTCAGAAATACGTGGTTCGAGGCTCGGCAGCTCGGCATAGGTGGTATAGAAGGCATAGGCTCCTGGTTGGTGGATCTGGATAGATATCTCGATTGTGCGATTGAAGTCGGGTGTTAGCCTGACAGCGGTTAACACACAGGTCAATTGAGTCATTGGACAATGCGGGAGCTCAGCAAATCACACACTTGAACTCTCTGAAGCTATCGCGACGAAACTCCCTGCCCTTCTCGGGGATATTGACCCAGAGGCTGCCATGGCAACATATTGACGAAGTGCCCTCAATGGCAAACCTGAGAGTCACAGGATCATTGGACAATGGCGCAATGTAGATGTACTGTTTCTCGACATCGGGAGAGCCGTCATCGTTGAGCGGTAGCAGATATACCTGGGTGGTTGTCATGGTGCCTGGGCTCATGGTGTAAAAGGAAGGAGGGGGGCGGCGGTTGCTGCCCCGCGCTAGAAAGGACTTGGGCGGGACTGGTAATCGACGTCAGAGGCTCACACGCAGAGATCAGAGCGCTGTTGTCGGTCGACATGTGGTTCGGTCAAGTATCCACCAGAGCTCCGTGATCTTTTCTGCAGCTGAATGTTTGCCGCGGGACAGATCAGCGAGACGTCAAAGGTCGGTGATGACAAGTGAAAAGGTTAAGCAACAGAGTAGCAGCGCGCCTAGCACAACAGGCCGGCCCTCTAAATCGAAAAGGGGCACAAGGGTGGTTACCAGCTCCCGAGATGGGTTGAGCTAATTTTTTTGATGGCGGCACCCAAGCGTGGGTGATGTTGAGGAAGTGGTGTGCGGCTGTTTATGGACATGTTTGAATGGAAAGGAACGAAGAAATCAAAGCAGTGACTCGCAACCGGTCTGCTGACCGGCCATTCGTCATCCATGCCTCAATATGTGCAACAAACCAGACGTAATGAACCAGACTAGTTACCGATTGTGCCTCAGCTTTTTCGATCGTGATGGAATCGGTAGTGAGGTGACCTGGTATTCGGTTCCCTAGAGGGCAGGATGCTGCGGACCAGGTACACCCACTGTACTATCCCCACAATAGGTCAATAGAACCCATCTTCGAATCGCCGACAACTCCGGCGGCGTCTTGTCATCGTGTGTAAGCATGACGTGAGACATCCGCGAACATTGAACGCGTTGGTCGTGGCACCTAATATCTGGGGTATCTTGAGCTGAATTGGGGCCATTACCCAATTTCGACTCAAGTTCTGTATTGGACATATTGTGAATTTATAAAGCGCACAGTCTTGTCCAAACCCAACCGCTTCCTATTTGACGAGATGTATATATATCGGCCCATCGGGGGTAATTCTTCCGAACATTGAATCCATTATAAACCATGGCAATCACCCACCTGGTAGCCCCGTCAATCCCTTCCTTTGGTACATATGGCCCAAACCGCCATTCGCCAAGCCCCGAGTCTCGTCAAAGTTGCCGCCACGGTTAGCGTAGACATTCTGTACGAGTATGAAGGCAAACATCGAATCCTA